CCCCAAAACCAAAATTTTATTGCGGATTCGGGGTCCTCTCGCCGAGTGCAGAACGACCCCGTTTTCAAAAAAAAATAAAAAAATTCTGGGCGTTTTTTTGGCCTGCCCAGTTTACCTGGGCAGGCCTGGCCGGGCGGCGTCATCACCCAGGAAAAAAGGGCAAAAAAATTGGTCTACTGTAGGAAAGAACCGAACTGGAATCCCCAGCACAGGCATCAAATGGATTTCAAGGAGGGATTGCATGCCCAATGACGGTGGAACCACTTGACCCCAGCGCGCAAATTTTTTGGGCAATCTTTTTGCCCCAATCCAAGCAGATGATGTGCCGAAGGTCCGTCTGCACTCGATGAAGCATTTGCTGAACCGAAGGAGGCTCGCCATTTCTGACCACAGTGTTATGATGCCGCCATAGATGCCACAGCACTGTTGCCCTGATAGTTTTATATACATAGGCTTGTGGTTTTGTAAAATCCAACAGCACAGTACCTAGAAGAATGGCATCCTTGGACCAAAGGTTCCCGTGATGACGAGGGAGGAGAGCAGCATTTTTAAGTGTTGTCCACACTTTTCGAGCGTATTTGCATGTAACCCACAGGTGTTGTTGATCTTCCACCAAGTGTCCTGTGGAGCAAACTGTGCAAAAAGGAGAGTGTTACATACTGATGCCACACGGGTCCCTTTCGGACCCGACCACTAGACTAAGGGCTACTTAGGCCGGCCCAGCCAAAGGCCGGGCCTTTTCTCCCGGTAGGCCGCATTGAGGCCACCGGTTGGTTTTCCTGCAGCAGACCAGGTATAGCCCCAAACGACATTACCGTTGGGCCTGGCGACGCTCTTGAGGCTGCCACTCGCCGGTCTGATCTGGATCATCAATCTTGACGATTCAGATCACGGCGCGCTGAGGCAGCATCGAGGCCGACCGGCCGCCGGACGGTACTTAGGCCGGTCCAACGGCCTTTCCAGGCATCTTGGAGAAGCGGACTGAGGAGCAACCGCGCTGCGCTATTCTGGTTTCAGCACAACGCTGGGAACTGCAGCGCTAAGTTTAGCGCACTGCAGTAGGGAGGGGCAAGGAGGGAGACTTACCTGACAGCAGCCACGAGCGCCATAGCTCCCAGCAGCACAGCTGCAGCAGCCGAGGCGCCACCTTGTACCATCAGGTAGGGCCTGGAGCTACTCGCCATCTCCGCCAATGCTCTGCCCCTCTCCTCTTCTTCTCCTTCAGACTTCTCCTCTTCTCCTTCAGACTTCTTCTTCTTCTCCTTCAGACTTCTTCTTCTCCTTCTTCAGACTTCTTCTTCTTCTTCTTCTTCTTCAGACGGGAGACTTTGATACGAGTTGGACAGAGATCAGTGATTGGACTTCGGTGGTAGGAGGCTGTGATACTTACCGGATTCAAGACATTGGACACAGTTGGGAGTGGTACCTGGCGGCATCACAGATCGGACATCGGTTACATTAGGATTCTGGACCTCCGACATTGGTGACTTATGTCCGCGACATTCTGATTTTGTTCGATGACATTTTGGGCTACCATATCGGTGACCTACTGGATTCTATCTCGGTGATATCTGGCGCTGTCCATATCTCCCACCTCCATCGTCTCTCCTCCCACCATTCATCTGTGTATGGTTGTACGGGGCCTGAAGCATTGTCTATGTATGGCTTCAGACCCCACCATCTCACGATTGCTTGTGTGTTGAGTGATGTTTGCGTGAGTTCAGTCTATGTTTTCTCAGACTTCCGCTGTATACATGCTCATCCTATATTGGTTGATCTTTGGTTCTTCCCATACTTGGTGAAGTATTCACTAGTATGCAACAGTTTGGTATCGGAGCAGACCAATTAAGTGGATCTGCTCACAGGATAATTCTGATTAGGGAATCGATTGCTTAATTAGCATTGTCTGTTTCCAAATTAGTTCTGCATTGCTATCGAAGATTCAAGTTGCAAATTCTATTTTTAATCCGGTATTGTATTTTAATTCGGTATTGAATTAGGTTTGCGATAACTTTGGTTTTCCGCATTAGGGAAGATTCTTGTTTTCTGGAACCATGAACCGGAAATTCCGCGAAATCGCGGAAAATTAGGGTTGAGGTCCGAAAATTTCGCCAAATTTTTTCTTTTCCCTAATTGTTGAATTTCCGAATGCGGACTTCGGCCTTCTGAAAATCGGACTATTTTAGGTTGAAATTCCCGAAATTTCAAATGTCACATTTTTCTGAAATCCGAGTGTTTTTCCTTTTCCTAATTGTCCGATTTTTTTTTTTTTTTCGTTTGGCAGACTGTTCGGGATCGTTTACCTCAGAACTGCAACTTCCGGGAAGTTCACTAACAACGGTGAACTCCCGGACCATAGGTGATCTCAACGGACACCTAATCTACCGACAATTTAAAATTCGTTATTGATAATTATTAACGTTTATTGATTGAAGTTCACTAACAACGGTGAACTCCCGGACCATAGGTGATTTCAACGGACACCTAATCTAACGACAATTTAAAATTCGTTATTGATAATTAGTAACGTTTATTGATTGATGATTATTTATTATTCAATATTCCTTATTATTTTATTTATCATTTTCGTAATTAAATTGTTCGGGGGGGAAAGATCACTTTTCTTTTTTCTCTTTTGATTAGGAGTCCAGTCCACATTGGGACAGGGGACTGTATGTTGTTTGATTGATCTGTTCTACCCCTGTTCCCACCCTCCCTGCCCTCCCCGTGTCTGTGGCCACTGCGATCTCCAAAGTACCACATCAGCCAGTGCTGATGTCGACGGAACAGGACACCGGGGCACTGCCATAACGCAGTGCCAGGCTCACAGTTCGTTGCCACACTGTGATACCTCCACGACCTAAGTATCAGCAACAACGACGCAGCAGGCGAACGGCTCCAGCGGCATCCAGTACCAATGCAGTACCGGTCACCACAGGGGTCCTTCCCGCCTGTCCGGTCCAAGGGGACCACGAGAATTTGACAGCTTACCTTCAGCGGGTGCAGGCATTCACGGATGCTGTCGCCACAGCAAAGGCACAGCAAGAGGCAGCAGAAGCAGAACGTCAGCGGCTTGCCCAAGAGGCGGCAGCCCGAGCTCAGCGGACTGCTGAGGCTGACGCAACGGCTCGAGACAAGCGGAATGCCGCCAGCACGGAGTCCCTGATTCAGATGAGAATTAGTGGACAGCACTACTCCAAGGCATGATCTTTGTGCCTACGGATGAGCAGGCGGATCCGACACCGGCGGAGGCAAAAAGGAGTAACCTGGCTGACTTAACGCTGTATATGATGAGGGCGGTAATGTGGAACAACACGATGCAGATGGTGCACACGCACACAGGACGGCAGCCGAGGCAGACTCAGCAGAAAGAGTCTTCAACCTTAACAGCCGCCATCTGCGCAGCAGCACAACATCAGCAACAACAGCAACAACTGTTGGCATCCACTATCACACGCGTCAACAGCATCGAGGCTAAGCCCTCAGCAGCGCCAGGCTGCAGGACAGACATAGCGAAGCAGCTCGGAGAGCGCATCGACTGTGTCGTCAACATCATCGGCGACCTGGGTGACTTTACCAGTCTGGCCACGATCAGCAGCACGGTGGCCGCCATCAAGACGGACATCACCAAACTGCAGTCACGACCAGAAGCCACCGCGAAGGCATACAAGAGGCCACGCTTCAACATCGGGAAGTTTGATGATTACAACAAAACAGACGCTTTGGCATGGTGGCAAGCCTTCATCACCGAAGCAGCTTGCCACCACGTGCCAGGCGACCTGATGACGACAGCACTCTACCTCCAACTCATTGGAGGAGCACAGGCATTCATGAACCATCTGGCGGCCAATCTGGGAACCACCATCGCCGACCTGCACACGCACATCACGTGGGAGCAACTGGAGCAAATGTGGCACACTCGATTCATGGTCCGAAACGTAGTGGAGGCGGCCATGAACGAGGTCTACTCTAGCTTGCAAGGGAACATGTCAACACGAGACTAGACGATCAAGTGGCAGAAGATAGTAACCACTCCCGGTTTCGACTTAAGTTTCCCAAACCTGCGATCCGAATTCTTTTCGCGATCGTGCGGAGGACTGTGGTCGGCACTCGGTAACGAGTACGACTATGCCTCGTTCAAGGCTATCCTTGACCGTGGGAACCTGGTCATCCAAACAGACGACAAGGCCGCCAACGAAAGGCAGTCCCAGCCGCAATATGTGGCTAAGCAAGGCTACCAAAGGCCGACGCATAACAATGCGGTGATCGCTGACGGATCACCTGATCTCCACGCTGCAGCAGCCTCCTCGAGTGGTGGAGGAGTTGTCGCAGCGCTTCCGCCGAAGCGTCCTAAAAGGGTTCGGAAGAACAAGGCGACACAAGGGACGATAGCGACGGAGACTGGGCAGCAACCATGGACGGCATACAACATCACCACGGAAGTTTTCGAACTTCGCCAACGGTATGGGTATTGCGTTTGGTGCAAAAGTGTAAACCACGCTACTGCACAATGCCCGGACAAGGGCAAGGCAAAGGTACCCCGTCCAACTAACTCGGGAAACTGGGTTGCGCACGGAGAGGGGCGACGCCTGTCCACACTCCGCCGGAATCGGTTACCTTGCTAACAACCGATATCACTACCAGGGAGCATGCGTTAGTCGCTAATTCTTGTGACACATACGAGGATTATGCCGCCCAGCTGGTGCCACCATTGGACCAGCGTATGCACACCTTGTACACCGTCGGCAAGAGAACCGGTTAGTTCACCACTTATTTTCGAGGACTCGACGGTGTGGTGAAGGCTTGAGGACCTCGACCCGCTCACGAGAGAGGACTTCTCTTGGATGCCTCTACCCTTGACCTGATCCTTGCCGAAGCCGCATTGTAATGCCTTGATGGCAAATCTACGCTCCTACTTGCACGCTGCAGTACCAACTTCGTTGACGGATGACGGAGTAGCGGTTGTCGATCTCCGCTCCTATCTTGCGAAGATTGACCGCGAGTACGCCACCCAAAGGTACGTCGAGACCAACGCTCCTTTGCTCTATATCCGCATTCAAATCGGAAAGGCCACCTGCAGTGCCTTGATTGATTGCGGAACGTCTCGCAACTTTATGAGCCAAGCCTTTATGGCACGCGCACGTCGCGCAGGCCTTGGCCCCCGCGTTCGAAGGAAGACGCAACCTACGCAAGTCACACTTGCGGATGGCCGCACGCAAAAGTCATTTGACCGATGCGTTGACGATGTTCCGATGTACTTTGCGCCCCTTGCGTGCGAGCCGGTGTCTTTCTACATCCTCGACACCAAGTTCGACATGATTCTAGGCATGTCTTGGTTGCGTAGCGCCGAGTCGCCGCCCATCCAGTAAACTTTCATGACCGAACCGTTCACGTCCGTGATCGGAACAGAGAGTTAGTCCCGTGTACAGTCGCGAGTCCTCACACTTCGATTGCTTCTCACGTGGTTTCCGTCGCGAGGATTCACGACGTCATAGCTCGGAATGACGTAGAGGAGATGGACGTTGTTTTCCTACGTGCCCTCCTCTCGACGGACGGACCAACCGCGTTGCCGCAGGACCCACGTATTACTCACCTCTTGGATGGATGTGGAGACGTTTTCGAGGCTCCCACGAGAACGGTTTCGGATTGGCCCATATATCACAGGATTACTCTCGAGGCGGGTGTCGTCCCTCCGCGTGGATGCATTTACCGCATGAGCGAAGAGGAACTCGAGGTGCTTCGCGCACAACTCGACGACCTTCTCGACAAGGGCTGGATTTGCCCTAGTTGTTCGCCATATGGTGCACCGGTTCTCTTCGTCCGGAAGAAGAACAAGGACCTACAGTTGTGCATCGACCATAAAGAAATTAACGCACAAACCGTAAAGAACGCCAACTCTCTCCCTCGGATTGATGATCTCCTTGAGCGGTTGGGCGGCGCGACGTACTTCTCGAAGTTGGACTTGAGGTCTGGTTACCACCAGATTGAAATCCAGCCTCAAGACCGGTACAAGGCCGCTTTCAAAACGCGGTATGGGCATTTTGAGTGGGTCGTGATGCCATTTGGACTCACCAACGCCCCGACAACCTTCCAAGCAGCCATGACAACAGAGTTCCGAGACTTGCTCGATTGTACCGTCCTCATCTACCTCGATGATATCTTGGTCTATAGTCGAACGCTTGACGAGCACCTCGTACACCTTCGTGCAGTTTTGGATCGGTTGCGAGCAGCCAAGTACAAAGCAAACCGCGACAAGTGCGAATTTGCCGAACACGAGCTTGCGTACTTAGGCCACTATGTGACGCCGAAAGGCATTCGTCCCTTAGCGGACAAGATCCAAGCCATCGTGGATTGGCCGGAACCCCGTTGCACTACGGGCGTACGCTCTTTCATGGGTTTGGCTGGATACTATCAGCGTTTTGTCGAGTCCTACTCCAAAGTGGCAGCCTCTTTGTCGAGACTTCAGTCCCCGAAGGTACTATTCGAGTTCGACGACGCAGCTCGTGGCGTGTTCAATACGTTGAAGGCGGCGATGCAAGACTTGTCGGCCCTCCGTATCTATGACCCCACCCTACCCACCCAAGTGACTATGGACGCTTCCGGATACGGTATTGGTGCGGTGTTAGAACAATGCCACCCGGACGGTTGGCACCCGGTCGAGTACTTCTCCCAAAAGGTGCCTCTCGTCAACTCTCTCCACGACGCTAGGAAGAAAGAGTTACTCACGTTCGTCACCGTTCTCAAATGGTGGCGCCACTTTCTTCTCGGTCGTCGGTGTTTTAAATGGACCACGGACAATAATCTGTTGACCTACTACAAAACGCAGGACACGGTCACTAGCACAATCGGTCGATGGATGTATTACATCGACCAGTTTGACTTTGACCCATGCCACATCCCCGGTCCCGCTAACCGAGCAGCGTACGCCCTCTCACGACGGCCCGATTTTTGTGCCCTAGTGACTACGACGTTCCTGCTCGACGGCGATCTGCAGCAGCACTTCGTCAATGGCTACAAGTCCGACCCGACATACTCCACGCTCTACGCGAAGCTTTCGTCAGATCACCCGCCGGCTGGTCACTATCGTATCTCCGACGGGTTCCTACTCCTCCACACGAGAGGAAAGGACTTGGTAGTGGTGCCCCAAGATCGCATCTTACGGACTCGCCTCCTTGGCGAATTCTTGGACGCACGACTTTCAGCACACCTCGACATAACCTGCACATTGGCCCGCCTCCACCAGCGTTTTCACTGGCCCTACGTTCTTCATGACGTCACGTACATTGAGTCATGCGCAGTTTGCCATCGCAACAAAGGTAGATCTCAGGTCCCTTATGGCAAATTGAAACCGATGCCAATCCCTCGGGCACCGCGCCTCTCCATTGCTATGGATGTTACAGGCCCGTTTCCCCTCGATCGCCTCGGTCATGACGGCATCCTCACGGTCGTTGACCGTTTGAGCAAATACGGTCGTTTTCTTCCATGCAAGGACCGTGCTACAGCCCCCGAGCTCGCACGACTCTTGCACACCGACTGGATTACTTGCCACGATGTTCCGGAAGACATTGTGAGCGATAGAGACACTCGCTTCATGTCATCCTTTTGGATTTCCCTCATGACGGAGCCTCGCACGACTCTTGTACACCGGCTGGATTACCTGCCACGGTTTTCCGGAAGACATTGTGAGCGACAGAGACACTCGCTTCATGTCAGTCTTTTGGACTTCCCTCATGACGGAGTCCGGTTCGACTATGAAGCCGAGTTCCGCACAACACCCGCAGACGGATGGGCAGTCGGAACGAGCGCAGCAGACCGCTCAAATGATGTTATGTACACTCATCCGTTCCGACCAGAAAGATTGGGTTGACCGGCTTCCCGACATCGAGTTTGCCTATAACACTTCGGTGCACCTGACAATCTGCATCACTCCATTCGAGTTGCATCACGGTGGAGAGAAAGCCCGAGTCTTTGCTGATCTTCTTCTACCACGGGCCGCCGACATCGACGTTGCTTGCTCTCCCGCTTTCGTTCCGACATACCGGGACTTGCTGATCAAAGCCCGAGCGAACATGCAAAAGGCTCAAATCCGCATGCAGCAGCAAGTCAACCGATGTCGACTCCCATGTCCTTTCCGCAAGGGAGACCTTGTTTGGGTCCTCGCTGAGGAATTCGCGCTGGAGCAAGACGTCTCGCACAAACTCCTCCCGAAATGGTTTGGACCATGGAAGGTAATTTCTGGCATTTTCTGCAGCAGGCGACGACCCTGTTGGCCCTTCCTTTGTGACTGCCATCCCACCGCACTTCCGCGCGCACCCGGTTTTCCATGCGTCAAAGCTGATCGTGTATACGCCACCTTTTGAGGATGAGTTTCCTGGGCGACAATCACAGGATCCGCCCTCTATGGACGGACATCAGGAAGTTGACCGTGTCATCACGCATCGCAAGTATGGCAACAAGCAACAAGCCAATGCAATACCAAGTCACATTCAAGCAATGTGCCCCTGATGACACGCGCTGGATCTCCCGCGCAGACTTACAGGCATCTGCACCACTCGTCTTCTCCGACTATGCGAACCAACGACTTGCCAAGGACAAAGTTCGTCCCACCCAACCCACCCAGGTATCGGACAGACAACTTCGCCCTCGCAGATAGCTCGGTCTTTTAAGAGGGGGAGTGTGTGACATACTGATGCCACACGGGTCCCTTTCGGACCCGACCACTAGACTAAGGGGTACTTAGGCCGGCCCAGCCAAAGGCCGGACCTTTTCTCACGGTAGGCCGCATTGAGGCCATCGGTTGGTTTTCCTGCAGCAGACCAGGTATAGGCCCAAACGACATTACCGTTGGGCCTGGCGGCGTTCTTGAGGCTGCCGCTCGCCGGTCTGATCTGAATCGTCAATCTTGACGATTCAGATCACGGCGCGCTGAGGCAGCATCGAGGCCGACCGGCCGCCGGACGGTAATTAGGCTGGTCCAGCGGCCTTTCCAGGCATCTTGGAGAAGCGGACTGAGGAGCGCCCGCGCTGCGCTATTCTGGTTTCAGCACAGCGCTGGGAACTGCAGCGCTAAGTTTAGCGCACTGCAGTAGGGAGGAGCGAGGAGGGAGACTTACCTGACAGCAGCCACGAGCGCCATAGCTCCCAGCAGCACAGCTGTCTCCCGCAGCAGCCAAGGCGCCACCTTGTACCATCACGTAGGGCCTGGAGCTACTCGCCATCTCCACCAATGCTCTGGCCTTCTCCTCTTCTTCGCCTTCAGACTTCTTCTTTTTCTCCTTCAGACTTCTTCTTCTTCTCCTTCAGACTTCTTCTTCTCCTTCAGACTTCTTCTTCGACTTCTTCTTCTCCTTCAGACTTCTTCTTCTTCTTCTTCTTCTTCTTCTTCTTCTTCTTCTTCTTCTTCTTCAGATGGGAGACTTTGATACAAGTTGGACAGAGGTCAGTGATTGGACTTCGGTGGTAGGAGGCTGTTAGACATACCGGATTCAATACATTGGAGATAGTTGGGAGTGGTACCTGGCGGCATCACAGATCGGACATCGGTTACATTAGGATTCTGGACCTCCGACATTGGTGACTTTTTTTTTTTTTTTTTTTTTTTTTTTGGG